TTACCCAGAACAAGGATGGCCAAGCCCCGGGGGACCTCCAAACCATATCTATTTCCCAAGTGATCCTGGTCAGGGACCCTTGGGGCCTGGTCCCCCAGATGAACTTCTGTGGGGGAACAGCCTCCTGCATCCTGATGCCCAGGCCCCACCCCCCCAAGTAGGAGCCAAGCACCCAGAGGGCCTTGGGAATCTGGGGAGTTCTTTGAAATTTCCAACAGCCCTTCCCAGGGAGGGGAGGGGGTGCTGTGTGAAGCCTGAAGACCAGTTTCTTAGAGTCAGGAAACAGGTCTGGGTTTTCACCTGCTTGCTGTGAACATCTTACTTCAGCTTTCTGGTGTCTGTAAAATGAGAACACTCCTTCCTGCTGTAACCCTGCAGAGTCTGTTGGAGTCAAGGTCAAGACAGACGTGCCTGCTTGTCTTGTAGCTGCCTATACCGCATATGTAAAGAGCAAGCAAGCTCAGTCAATATGTACGCGTAATTGCAGCAGTTCAGAAGAGAGGTGATGAAGCTGGGCCCATGGAGACCCGCAGCCAGCTGAAGTGAAGGCTGGCTGAAGCCCCCTGTAGGTCCCAGTCGTGGGAACAAGGAGGAATCTGCCACCAAAGAGATCATTGCTTCACTGGGCAGCCTGAGACCAGCCGGGCAGGGCAGGAGTCCAGGGGAGTGGGGGGAAAGCCGGCTGGGCCTGCGGCTCTTCGGTGAACATGGTCCTCTGAGCGCCCCTCCCCTGGCCCTCCTGGGGGCTTTGCTGCCGGCCGCACCAGCACCGGGCGCCGCCGGAGCTGCGCGCGTCCGTGTTAACCCTTTTCTTCCCGGAGGACGGCATCCCATTTCACAGGTGAGCAGAGCGAGGCGGGGACGCGCGCCGGGAGCCGCGGGGGCGCCTGCCGGAGGAGCCCCGCCCCGGCCCGAGGCGCAGCCAATGGGCGCGGGGCCCCGGGTGGGGTGACGCGGCGTCAACGCCCGGCTCCCGGCGGCTGTGTCACGTGCGCCGCCCGACCGACCCGGAGCCTCGCCCGTGCCGCCCTGCCCAGAGCCGGCGTCCGGCCGGGTCCCACCTGAGAGGCCGGCCTCGTCTCTGCTCCTTGCTGCTGTGGGCGTCTGAGAGGCACAGGGGCATAGTCTGTGGGTTCAGAGCCGTTTGGGGCAGGTGTCCAGCGCAGGCAGGGCCAAGCCATGTCCTTGATGCCGGAACCCAGGGGCGGGTGGCGGGTCAAGCTCGGGAGCTGCCAGGGCTGCCTGCCTTGGGCATTGCCTCAGGCTACACAGACCCCTCCCCACTCCTGGAGCCCCCCTGCCCTTGGCCTGCCCGTTGGTGCTTCATTTTGCAGTAGATGAGCTGGGACCTGCCCAGCTTGTGGCCTAGGCAGCAGAGAGCCTGCAGGGAGCACTGGGTTCCTCCCAGCTCCCCATCTGGTCATTATAGAACCAGATGGCCATTGACATGGCTGGTTCTAGTCTTGGATGACCGTGTGTTCTCATGCCAGTTTGGCTTCTGCTGTATACTGGACAAGTCATTTGAAGCCCTCTCTGAGCTGTTCTGGGGGTACACCAGCCAAGGAAGAGCCTCAGGAACTCAGTGAGGGCTGGGGCTTACAGGAAGAGTGAGGCATCAACTGACACCACTTCCAACTACACGCGCGTTCTGATTCTGAGTTCATTGTCAAGTGTACATTTCACTGCAAGCTGCATTCCTGGCTTTTCTTGAAAAAAGGGAGTTGAGCAACAGCAGGCTACAGCGGCCTGTGAGCTTCCCTGGTCCCCTCTGTCCCTGGAATCCACCCAGGCAGGGCCCTGGAGGCATCGGGTTAACTGTGTTTGACCGCATTTCTCACAGCACAGGATACCCTGCCTGCAGCTCTGGGCAGGGGTGGGGAGGGAATGGCCCATCCCATGGACGCCCTGGTGCTGAGGTCCTGGAGCCCCTGTACAGATCCTCTGAAGCCACCCAGCAAGAGCTGGCAGGGGTTCCACTACAGCAAATGGCACTTCTGGGTGAGTCCTGCATGTTCAAGGCCTCTTGTCAGCCCATGCCCAGCTCCTCAGGGCCCCAGGGACCTTTTCCTTGGAAGAGAGGGGGGCTGAGGAAGGACTTCTCAGATGTCTCAGTGGGGGACTAGTGGGCAGTGGGCCATGAGTCATGAGCGGACTCACAGGGCTCCCCACACTGCCCCCTCTTCTGGCTGCTCCCCAAGACCTCCCTGCCCCGCAGGCCCTGGAAGAGGGCTCCAGGGCTTCCTGGCTGCAAAGTGTCCTTAATTCTGAGAACTGGACTGGAGCTGCCCCTCCCCTCCTGGCCAATCTGGCACCCCACAGCCTCGGCATGGGATCCTGGCACATCCACGGTGATGTCTTAGGGTCACCCCACTTTGCACCCCACTCAGGGACACAGGACAGTAATCTCAGATATGCAGATGACACCACCCTTATGGCAGAAAGTGAAGAAGAACTAAAGAGCCTCTTGAAAGTGAAAGAGAGTGAAAAAGTTGGCTTAAAACTCAACATTCAGAAGACTAAGATCATCTCATTCGGTCCCATCACTTTATGGCAAATATATGGGGAAACTGTGGAAACAGTGACAGACTTTATTTTGGGGGGCTCCAAAATCACTGCAGATGGTGACTGCAGCCATGGAATTAAAAGATGTTTGCTCCTTGGAAGAAAAGCTATGACCAACCTAGACAGCATATTAAAAAGCAGAGACATGGAGAAGGAAATGGCAACCCACTCCCGTATTCTTGCCTGGAAAAGTCCATGGACAGAGGAGCCTGGCAGGCTGTAGTCCATGGGGTTACATGACTGAGCATGTGTGCACGAGGGAGATGGGTTGGTAGCAATAAAGTGGTAGAACTAAAAAAAAAAAAAAAAAAAGCAGACACATTATTTTGCCGACAGAGGTCTGTCTAGTTAAAGCTATGGTTTTTCCAGTAGTCATGTATGGATGTGAGAGTTGGACAATAATGATTTTGAACTGTGGTGTTGAAGACTCTTGAGAGTCCCTTGGACTGTAAGGAGATCAAACCAGTCAATCCTAAAGGATATCAGTCCTGAATATTCATTGGAAGGACTGATGCTGAAGCTGAAGCTCCAATACTTCGGCCATCTGATGTGAAGAACTGACTCATTGGAAAAGACCCTGATGCTGGGAAAAATTGAAGGCGGAAGGAGAAGGGGACGACAGAGGATGAGATGGTTGGATGGCATCACTGACTCGATGGACATGAGTTTGAGTAAGCTCTGGGAGTTGGTGATGGACAGGGAGGCCTGGCGTGCTGCAGTCCATTGGGTCACAAAGCGTCAGACACAACTGAGTGACTGAACTACAGGGACACACAGCAGGCCTCTTTCGGGCCCACAGCACCTTTCACAGGGGGACACACCTTCCAACCACAGAGCCTGGGGCCCTCACACTCTGGAGGCTGCTCTTAGACTCCCTCTGCATAGGGCCTTGGTCTCATTCCGACTGCTACCCCCGAGCAGAGGGAGTGGGGCGAGCTTACCTGGCAGCACGGAGGCTTACGCTGCCTCTACTTAAACAAAGCTGGAGGTCAGCTCTGGCAGACCCAACAGAACAGAGATTGCACAGCAGCAGTCTGTTTGTTTGTTTATTGTGGAGTATTTTACATGCAAGATCCCAAACTAGACAGACGTATCTAGGAGAGCTCGTGGGTAGACGGACGGACGTTCTGGTGTCACTGACCCACCCTCCAGTCCTGCTCTACCGGCAGAGACAGACAGTGACAGACCACTAGGCTGGGGGAAGCCGACAACAAACCTGAGAACCCTCACAAATCAAGTGCAAACTAGAGGGAATAAATATTCACCCCCTTTCCTCCAGGAGCACCTGGAGAGATGCCATGAGCCTTCTGAGTTGACAGCTGTTCTCAGGGCGCCCCAGGGACAGGAAAGGCTGAAGCTGGGCATGAGAGAGGCGGGGGCCTCAGGGTGTCTTCTGAGTGGTGAAGCTGGCTATGCCCATGTCGGGGATAGGGGAGGGGGCCCAGGCCTGGGGGCTGCCAGTACAAAAGGCTCAGCTGTCCTCCACAGGCTTTCTTCCTCAATGGGCCACAGCCCCCTGAACCCTCCGGAAGGCTGGGTTGGACTGAGTTAGAAGCGTGCGGAGGCCAAGTGAGGCTGTGGTGGCAGGAAGGAACAGGAGGAGCTGGAGTCTGGGCACCTGCTGCCCCAGGTCCTCACCCGCCCCACCTCCCCAGGCTCCCTTCTCTGGATCCCAGTAAAGAGGGGAAGGGCAGGGCGCTGAGGCGGGATCCAGGGCAGACAGCACAGTTAATCACACTGAGGGGCTGACAGACAGACAGGAGGACAGACAGCAGACGGCCCCCTTGCCCTCTGGCCTGGACAGTGAAGAGTCACTGCAGCTCTGAGGCCATTGTCCTTATGCACAGATAAACCAGTCGGTCACATTCCCCTGGGGGTCCTGGGCAGGGGCTGCTCTGGGGCAGGCTGGCCAAAGGCCCACCAGTGCCTGGTCACATGAACTCAGTGCTTTTTGCTGCTGCCCACTGGTCAGAGAGGCAAGAGGAAGGAGTTAGTTTTCACATCTCAGCACACAACACAGAAAAGGTTAAACACATCCCCAAGAAAATATTTTGACAAAATAAATATTTCAACCTATAATCAGGTATAATTAGTGCTTATAAGGAATCCCAGCAATAATTTAGTGTAAGTACATACTGGATCTGCGGTCTCTAACACTGGCCGAGGCCGGTGGCTCGGAGGGTCTCACTCTGCTGGGCAGAAGGCTCTGGCCAGGGTTCCCTCCTGGGAGAGCAGCCCGAGAGCCGAGTCTCCCAGACAGAAGGGAACCAGTGAGATGGGCCTGGGCACCTGGGGCCTCAGGACGGGAAGGGCGAGCAGCACCCGTCCCAGGCACCTGCTTCCTGGGCGTGGTGGGGGCAGGTGGGGCAGGCTGCTGCGACCTGATGGGCAAACAGAGGGGCAGCTCCAGCCAGGACGGCTGGTGAGGCCCCTACCACTCACCACCCTAGCGGCTTGGCCTCTCTAGACCAGGCCTGGCTGAGCAGCTGGAGCTGGGGGACGGCTTTGTGGGGTCTCCCCGGGGGCAGGCACATGCCCCTGCCACACCGTCCACCCGGGGACTCCCGGGAGGCTGGCTCCTCCCTCAGCAGATGCTGGGCCTGGCTGCTGTGACTCCCGAAGGACTGACTGACCCCCGGAGGCCCAATGTCCCCCCTGGGCTGGCAAGGCAGGCTCCACCCCACAGAGACACACCCCCAGGCTACACTAGAGGCCTGGGGATACCAGCTGGAGTGGCCAGGCACAAGCAGCCACCTGCCCTGCAGCTCGTCAGCTGGCTTTGGACGGTTCAGCATCCAAGGCTAACTGAGGGTGGGACCGGGCAGGGGGTAGGCGCAGTGTGGGGGCCCAGCCCGGCAGGGTGCGGCAGGCTGACCCAGCTACACCGAGGGGCATCCTCCAAGGATCTGGGGTGTGAGGTGCCAGTAGGACCCGTGGCCTCCCCTGTGGAAGGAGCTGCGGGGGGCCAGGCCAGGTGTGGGTCCCCCAAAGGCACCTCAGTCTCCAAACCTGCTCCTGCTGGCGCCCCCACCCCCACAGCCCCCACCCCCACCCTGAATGCTCCCAGGAGACCCCAGCTTTGCCCTGATGCCAGGGAGCGCCTGCTAGAGCTCTGAGTGGGGCTAGGGCTCCCGGGCCGGCGAGAAGCTGCGGGCATAGCCCGTGTGCCCTTCTGGGCACAGGGCAGCTCAGGCTAGACCGGGCTGGGGCCGAGTGAGAACCCAGGACGGAGTGGGGCTCACCAGCCGCCCCCCCTTCCAAGGTGGGCTGCGAGGTCAGGCTTCAGGACAGTCTGTGGGGGAGGCTGAGGCCCCGCCGAGGAGGAGCACAGGGGCCTTGAAGCTGTGCCGGCTGCTGGGTCACTGGGATCTCACTCAGGGTCAAAATCGCTTGCTGCTGTGGGCCCTGGAGGTGGAGGCAGAGGCTACCCTGGGCCGAGCCAAACGAAGCACATTCCAAAAGGTGCCTAGCTTTCCCAGGCCAGCCAGAGCCAGCCCTCACCGCGCAGGTCCCTCCACAGATGGAGTGGCGTGCAGAGTGGTGCATGGGGGCAGCGAGATCACCACCATGTTACCTCTACAGGCTCTGCCCACACCGGAGCCATGGGCCCGCGGCAGACCCCTTGGTCCCAGCTCGGCAGTGGGCCTGGGCTAGCAGTGGAGAGTGAAGAGGGTCAAGCAGGTGGTAGATGAGAGATGCCACCCGCAGGCACCACAGAGCCTATTGAAGTGCTGACGCTCGTCAGGGAGTGGGCAGTGGGGAGTGAGACCAAGCCCGCGGCTGCAGACCTGCCCTTTCTGGGACCAAGGAGGGCACAGGAGGGCAGGAGAGGCCTGCTGAGCTGGGCATGGGGCTGGGGTCTGAGCCCCTTCTCTATGGGCAAGTGACCAGAGGAACTGCTCGGGAACAGCCCCAAAAGGCTGGCCCTGCCTGGGGCTGGGCCAGTCACCAGCTCTTCCTGGAGGAAACAGGCAGAGGGAGCAGGAGGGCAGAGGCTGAGGGGCTCCAGCTGCAGTGACACTGTCCCACCTCCCAAAGAGAAGGTGGCTAAAGCTGGGCCCAACGAGTGGGAGGCCTGGGAGCAAACACAGTGGTGTTTCCATGGAGACACAGCAGCGCAGGACCAAGTGGGGGCGGGGGATGGGAGGAGTGGCCAGAGCCTGGTGTGGACCGGGGGCGAGAGGTGACCTGCCATGGGGTGGGGGGGGCAACCACAGGACAGCTCACAGGGCAAAAAGGGCATCCTCTGACCGCTCCGGCTTCTTCCGGCCTGAGGGATTCGAGGCTGGGGCCGGAGCGTCCGCTGGGGGAGATGGGAGGTTGGGAACCATTTCAGCAGCTTTGGCCCTTTCTTCAAGGAATTTATCGAACTCTGAAACAGAACAAGGCCCAGCAGGGATGGGTACGGGCTCAGCTGCCACGTGTAATCCCACAGGCGAGGGCCCCTTTCCTCCTCTGACACCACCAGGGCAGGCAGGAAGCTCAGCCACAACCCAGGGTGCGTGAGGGAAGCGGGCAGTCATGACTCCTGCCCCACCACTGACTGGAAAAGCCCCGTGGTGCTTTTCCATGGTCCAGATCGGCATTGGTGGCAAGGCAGGGAGAGCTGGAGGGGTAACTTCCTCCTTGACCTTGGCAGGGACCCCCACCCCGGCAGGGCTCAGGGCCTACAGAGGGCCCCAGACCGGCACCCCTTGTGCTGACTGCATGGCATGTGTTTTGTCTTGGTGGCAATGACCACTTGGGGGTGGGGGGCAGACCAGTCAGGAGTGCCGGTCTGGGGTCCCATGGACCTGGGATGGCCGATTGTGCCTACCGGCACCTCCCACGTCAGCAGGTGACCTGGATGGACACAGCCCAGGAACGGGGAGGCGCCAGGGTGGCAAGGAGGCTCTCAGAGCCTGGGAAGGGCACAGCCACAGTGGGTCAGAGGCAGGCCTACCTTCGCTTGTGACGCCCTCCTCCAAGTCATCGCCCTTCTGTGGGAGAGCGGAGAGAGGACATTAGTGCTGTCCCGTGGCCGCTCCCGCCTGCGGCCCACCCCCCAGGGCAACACCCAGTGACACTTCTTCCTTCCCATCCTGAGTTCTGCAAGAGCAGAATGCTGCTCTCATCTTATGGGAGAAAGAGAAACTTTTGTTCTTAAAAAGTAAAAACAAAAAGCTGAGGAGGCTCTAAATCCTCCAGAAAGGTCAGAAAGAAAAAAACTGAACTGTGCAGCTCCTTCCCTGCTGAAACTCGGGGCAGGACCGCAGAAGAGCCGGGAGAGGCCAGGCTCCGGGCACCCCTCCACTCCGCGGACCTTCGCGGGCAGCTGCATGGCACTGGGTGGTCAAGGCCACGCCAGCAGCTGGAACCCCGTGAGGCCTGGAGACATAGGGGCTTGACCCCAAGGTGCCCCGGCAGGGGGTTGGCTGGGCTCCAGCCTCCTAGGAGCAGTGCCAGTCTCTTCCCATGCCCCGATTCGGATACTGAGCTCTGGGCAGTCAGTTCTGTTTCAGGGATGTGGGGGCCACTGGGCCCTGCACAGACAGTGATGGACGGTGGACATGGCCCCATCCTCCTTCCTGCCTCCGCCCCTGATCTGCCCTCGAGTGCGGGTCCCCCTTGTAAGGTGAGGTGGGCCAGGTGTGCCCGCCTGCTCTGTGACAGCAGCTATTTCTCTCCAGGCGTTCTCTCAGGAAGGACCTAATGGGCGCCTCTTCCTCCCCTGGCATGGCCCAGGAAGCGGCTTGTGGGGCAGTGAGTGTCTCTGGAAAGCCTGTCTCTGGGGCTGGGTGGGCCGTGTGCTGGCCCGGAGCAGCAGGAGGTCCTCCTAAGGTCTGCCGTCCTAGTGGGGGGCCTGACAGGAGGTGACAAGAAACAGGAGATGAGGTGTCCCCAAGTCAGGGCAACAGTTCCTTCAGCCATGACGTGGGCAAGCACCCCTTTCCAGGGTGCATTTTTTTAACATCCCCTCAGGGGGTGACAGTGCTTGGCGGGGGCCGGGGCGGTGGGGACTGGCCAGCGCAGCCTCCCATCTCAGAACCTGCTGCCATGGGGAGATGCATGACATCCTAACCTCCCTGCCCATCTCTGGGGACAAAGACAGTGGCCTCTGGGGCCAGTAAAGCCAAGATGCCAGGCTACGCTGGGGAAGGGTGATGACAGTGATGGAAAAATAAACACCCACTCACAACTGTGAAAATTTCACAATTAAAAGAAAAAAATGAAAACCAAAAAAAATTAAAATTAAAAAACGCACAAAAACCAAAAGAATCCAAGAGCACACACCTGGAATCACAGAGTGACTGGGAAAAGTCAGGGTGCATCTTGGAGGCGCCTGCCCAGCCTCCCTCCTCCACTCCCCAGGGAGCAGCCCCTGGGGCCCCCAGGCCAGCCCCAAGGGGCCCCGGCCTGGGCCTCGCCACTCCCCACCAAGACAGAAACGTGGAGTCTCACCAGGTCGGTCCTGAGCCACACCTCAATGTCGTCCATGACCGAGGGCTGCACCACGGGGATCTGCGGAGGCAGCAGGCAGCGGCCAGGCAGCCCCCAGCCAGGCAAGGAGACAGAACAGCAGACACGTCAGTGCAGGCAGCCCGAGGCAACCAAAGGCGCACAGAGCGGACACGTGGGGCAGGCGGGCAGCAGCCGAGGGAGGCGGCGGGGAGGGAGGCAGCGGCTCTAAGAAGCAGGGCGGCGGGCGGGTGGGCGCAGGGAGGAGGCACAGTACGCGTTCTTCAGTGGATAACTTTTTGACTAGTGTGTCCGCCCTTGGTCCCGGGGCCCCGGCAGGACGGGGAGGCTGCATAGCAGCCCATGGCCCAGGGCAGCGCAGGGCACGGGGTTGGCAGGGGTATAGGCTCTGCTCACTGAAAGGATCCTGAAATGCGTCCCGGGGCATTTCCACATGGGGAGGGCACCCAGGCCTAGGGGTTGCCTGGCCCACAGCAGCCCAGCACATTCCTCCACCAGCAGACACAGGCAAAAGCAAGCATTCTGATGACCAGAGGGGCCGTAGGCTGTGGTCATCTGTGTGTCTCTTTAGTGGGAAACCCGCGAAGCAGCCGGAATGCAGCAGCCTTCTCTCGCTCCACCCTCCCCTCCCAGCCTTCAGCACTGCCTGTGGCCCCCCACCCCCCCATCAAAGGGAAAAGGGCACCTGAGAGCAGGGGAGGGGGCAGGGGAGCAGGGGAGGGGGCCGGGGTCCTGAGAGAAGGAGGGCGCCCAACCATCGCCTGGGCCTTGTCCACACCGGGGCTGCCTGTGCCAAGGGCCCGAAAATCTATTTGGCTGGAAATGATGAAGCTGCTGGCAGATGTCGTAAGATAGCAATGTGATAAGAAGTAAGAGTAACCTTCAACCCCCCTGAAGTCACGCTAATGAAATGTTGGCTCCCTGCCTACAGAAACGGGTAGACAGCCCTTGATTGAAGTGACCTGTGTCCTCACCTAGGCTGGCCCACGAAGTACCTCTTGGGACTCACTCGCAAGCCCACTGTTTCTAGAAAACTCTCCAGTACTGTGTCTGCAGCTGGGTTCACCCCAGGGCCACACAGCCAGGCCGGCAGACCCCATATCTGGCCTCCACAGGCGTTTCAGAGAGGTGCAGGCCAACCTCCACTAGATTATTTGTATTTATTCGACCTGCTGGGGCCTTACGAATGCTGGAATGAAAAACCACCCTGAAATGACCATGGGGCTGAGGAACACGTGGCCTTGCTCTGCAGGGCGGGCCGCCGTGGGCACTGGCAGCACTTGAGGCCCCTTCCCTTCCAAGCGAGTGGAGCAGGGGCACCCGGGGCACGACCTGCCAGGTTCATGCTTGCCGGCAGGGTTTCTGCCCAACACGGTCTCATGACAGGAGATGCCAGTTTTTGTTACTGTGATTCTTCGAAGCTGGCATGCCAGCCTCGGGGAGGACGCCTGCCACCTGCCAAGTTCCCAGAATCCAGTATGGAGAGTCAGCCCATCTCCAGAGAGAAACCAGCAACTCCAGCTGCCAGAGCAGGGGGTCCCTGAAGCCCACCAGCCTCAGCCTGCCCAGGTCGAGCAGAGAGACTCCTCAGGTTGCAAAGCTTGAAAAAAGCCGCTAAAGGGGCCAGGGGCTTTAAGCCTTTGTTACTGTTCAGAATTGATCCCCTGGGGTCAGGGATCATGCCCCTGTTTCCCCCTCTGGACCGATCTTGAGAGCCAGCACACTCAGAAGATAAACACTGACCTGTGAGAGGCTCCTCACCCCTCGAGCTGGCGGAGGCAGCTCTCCCCTTCCCTGGGTGGACTTGCCCCTCTCCAGGAGCTCCCTGCCTCTGGGCCCCGGCCTCATCTGTGAAATGGGGTGACAGCTTCCACCACTCACCACCTGGAGCCCTTCACTTCAGGCTGCGAGTTCTAACTCAGAAACCCAGGGCCTGGAGCCCTGGGCCTGACCCCTGAAAGGTATGGAATAGGTCGGGTGTGGGTGGCAGGACAGCTCACATGACCTTGGGATGGGCTGTGCTGCTTGGCTGGATGCAGCGCCTGGGCTCACGAGCCACCCACCAGGTGGTCGATGTGGGAGCACTGCGCCAGGGCAAAGTTTCTGTGACAACCAGGTGTGTCAGACACGCTGGACACTCAGCTGCCCTGTGAACAGCCCCACCCGTGGGCACATCCCCAGGCCCGAGGAATCTCAGTGTTGTTACCCTGAGCGACCTGGGCTCTGACGTGGTCTGTGGGGAGCACCTCCTGGGCAAGGGGGCTGTGGAGCGTGAGGTGGAGGAAGGAGATGGAACGGAGAGAGAAATAAAGGCACCTCTCATGTGGGGACTCCGATGAGGATCTGCACCCGGACTCCCTCACCCAGGATAGCTAGATGGGCTGTCCTCAGCCCTGATCTGCACTGGCTGCTGGCTGGTGAGCGGCTTTCTCACTGGCTGGCTCACTCACCAGCCCAGGGGCGGGGGTGCTGTCACCAGCTCAGCCACTGCCAGGCACCCTCGGCTGCATCTGGGGGCTGCGGGTCTGCACAGGGAGCCCTGCCTCCACCCCAAACCTGGAGCAGACTCTCTGCTGACCTACTGCGGTTCCTGCTGTGCTTCCCTGGCTCCCCCCCACCCCCCCGCCCCCCCGCCATGTGCCCTCTGACCGAAGCTCGGAGAGGCAGGAGGACCCTGAAGCCGGATGGGGCACCTACACTGCCCCCCCACCCCGCTGGGCAAGCTGCACCAGAAGGTTCTCAGGGCCTCTCCTCCCCACAGGGAAACCTGCGCTGTTTCCAATGAGGCCAGAGCCAGTGGTGTGCTCAAGGGTGATATCCAGGGGCTGTGGACCCTCCTGATAGCCCGCCCTCCACCTCCTCACCACCATCTATAAGTCCTTGGTCTCACTCAATAGTACAAAAAGTTTCCAAGCAAAGAATTTGTACTCCAGCAGTTTGGAAAGACTTGGGTTTCTACACTATGGGAAATAAGGCAAAGCAATTAATATACATTGTTTTTAAAAAAAGAACAAACACACTGCAATCAGACAGGTGAGATGCGGGGTTAGTTGTTAGCTGGGCTTATTCTGAAGTCAGAGCCTGGAGCTCTAGGTGGGGCCCGGCAGGGGCGGCGCCACCACTGGCTGCCGAGCCACACCATGTGTTGTGGGCAGTATCCTTTTTTGCAGGATTAACGGGTCCAAGGACACACAATGGATCCTCCCAATTTGGACAATGGAGGGAACATGCTCTAAGGAGTCCTGCTCTAAGGCCACTCACACGTGTGGGGTGGAGCCCCAGCCTGACCCAAAGAAGCAGACGAGGGCCTGGCTAGCCTGTCTCTCTAAGGTTGGCCCTGGGCCTGGGGCAGCAAGCAGGGCTGTGGAAGAGTGGGCGATAACCCCTAGTGTGGCTGGGCCCAGTCACTGGCTCCAGGCTGGATGGGCAGACACTCTGGCCTGGGCTGTGGTGGCCCTGCCACACCTGGCTCTGCCAGGAGACCTTGTGCCACTCACAGGCCCAGGCATGCTGGCCCAGCCTGAACAGCCCTCCACTGGCCCGTCCTGACCCAGGCTCCAGGGGTCAGTCCTGCTTCCTCCTGGAGTGTCCAGCGTCTCCCGCTCTGGCCCCATGACACACAGACCTCTGGTTTCTGCAGCAGAGGCAGGGAGCCAGGTGGTGGCTCCGTGAGAGGTGAGCTGCTCTCTGCCCAGCAGGCAGGTTGGAGTGGGCGACCCCTCTGTGCACAGACTCGGGCCACTTGATCACAAGGCAGGAAGGACCCTCCCAGGCTTTGGCCTCGAACATCCTACTTCCCAGGACTGATTGCATGTGTGATCCCAGTGCCCGCGCCCCAGACTCCTCTCATTCTGTTCCTGTTGTGTCTGTGTATCTTCAGGGGCCGCAGACCCTTCTGGGGAACACAGTGGGCAATGGGCACAGACCCCACCAGCCGAGGCCGGCCACGTTCACAGCAGACCCCCCCACACACACCCCCAGGCAGAGGCCACAGGACTCGTGCTCATCCTGCAAAGTGAATACTGCCCAGAGCTCCAGGGACAATGAAGGGGGAAGGGCCCTCCCCGCACTCCTGCAAACGCCCGAGCTCAGCAGAAAACCAGAGCTGTGTTTCTGGGGCTGGAAGTCTGTGGCTTAAGGAGACAGACAGGAGGGGGAGACTGGGCACCCACTGGGGTGGGGGGTGGCCCTGGACTGTCCGACTCACAGGGGCTCAGCAGGCAACAGAGGGAAGTGCTGGGGAGACAGGGGGTCAGCGCGGTTGGTGACCGCTCACCATTCCTTGGGCTATGAGCCAGCTGTCTATGGGCTCCAGGGCAGAGTCCCCACCTTTACCTCTCTTCTGGGTTGAGGACAGAAACGTCCCAGAAAGGAAAGTCACAGTGAGACCCGTGGTAAAGAAGGCAAGAGCCGGTGTCATGGAAACAGAGAAGCTAAGTCACCGAAGAGCTGGACCCAGCACCCCACCCCCTCCCAAACACCCCTGCATAAAAGAAAGAATTAAGTACAGGGGATCCCAACAGGGCAGGGCACACTCAAGCCCTGTCCCCACCCTGGGAAACCTCTTGAGGCTAGCGGGGATGCCTTCCTGCCTGGGACTCTTGGGGTCACCAAGGGGCGACATCACAGAAGTAGCTGTGGCATAATCATTTCTATTTCTTCTCATTTATGCTTTTTTTCCTCTTTCAGTTACCTGTGTGTTCCTTTTCCAACTCTTAATGGGAATGCTGAATTTGGGGATATTGCCTTTTTACATAGTAAAAAAATTTAAAGCTAAGATTCCTGATTTGGATGTACTGTGGAGATGTGGTTACACACTTTTTCCCTTTTTATTGCGTTCTTAATTTCACCCTTGGCCCAGTTTTCATTTTCAGGTCAGAACTGTTTAGGATATGAACAACAAAACCTGAAGTACCGGCCTGAAGACAGATGTAAGTGTGTGTGTGCACAGACACACCCACGGACACAGACATACAGACACACACAGAGACAGGGATACGCACACAGAGACACACAAACTCACAGACACACAGACATGGACATGCACAGACAGGCATATGCCCCCCACAGCCGCACATACACACGCACACGCATATACACACTGCCCTGCCCACAGGACCCCTGCTCCCGCGTCCCCCATTGAGCAGGACACATGGGGAGCAGCCTGTCTTCCGCAGGTGGAGATGCTTACAAGAGGGAGGCGGCCAGGCCAGGCACCCGCCTGCCCAGGGTGATGGCTGAGAAGCTGGCCACGTTCCTGAGCTTGAGTCTCAGGCACTGGTATTGGGGCACACCTGGGCCAGGTGGGGCAGGCCTGAAGGTAGAGAGGGAAGTTGACCAGGCCAGCTTGGCTGGGGGGGCCAGGGGAGGGGCCTCACCGGCCCCCTGGTGCCCTGAGTTAGGGGGAGGCGTCCTCAGCAACAGGAGACACTGGACCATGACCACCAGAGCACGGAGCAGAGCCTGCCGGCCTCAGGGGTCTGAGGGGCGGGGCACCGAGAGCCACAGTCGAGCTGGCTCTCCGGTTCCCCCTAGTGGCTGGTGAGGAGAGATGCACGACTCTCTCCAAGCTGCCTAAACCAGAAGGGACCAGGGGAGCAGCTTTCCTGCAGACATCAGGCCACAGCACTGCCACCTGCTCCGGCCGCCTGGACAGAGGCTGCGGGAGGCCAGGGGCTGATGCTGAGGAAGCACTGCCCCTTGCTAGCCCAGGACAGGGGTGGGTAGCTGTTCTAGAGCTACGGTCCTCCCCACATGCATTCATTCACTCACAGCCACACGTTTCTCAGGTAGGCAGAAAGAGCCATTGCGGCATCTGGGGCCCCAACAACCCGACCTCCATCCTCAGCGCTGCCCATCCCCCTGCAGCCCAGCTCCCCAGCCAGCCCAGAACACCAACCCCCTTCTGATGGAACAGGTGGGTGGGCCTGCGGGACCTTCTGTCCCTTCTGTGAGGGTCTTACCTATCAGGGTGCTGCCCAGCCCAAGGCACTACAACCTCTGGGGACAGACCTTCCCTGACCACAGGAGCCCTGGAGCCCAGAGCCACCTCGGGGGGCACAGCGGGGCTCCTAGTCAGACCTCTTGGGGTGCAGCCCTGCCCATTGCTCACTCTTGGGCTGCCCTCACAGTTCCCACCTCTCAGGGCCTGTCTCCTCCTGGAAAAGCTGTCACTGGGGTCTCCCACAAGGTGGGGGGACTCAGCGAGCTGACGTGGCTCACCCAGGTCTGCCTTCTGGTCTGCCCCCACTGCCATCAGCTTTGCCTAACTCTCTAGTCACCTTCACCACCCACCCCACCCCACCCCCGGCCTTCCCTCCAGGCAAAAAAGCAGGGTTCCAGACCTACCACTTCGGAGCTCTGTTTATGACCATCAACTGCCGAAGCAGGTACTCCAACGGCCTGGGGGTCCTCATAGGCAGGCCTGGGGACAAAGGAGCACAAACGGGGTAGTCATGGGGATGGACAGGGGTAGACTGGTCATCCACTCTGGCCATAGTACCTTCCTCACGAGTGCTTGGCAGCCTTGATATTTAGGCTGGGGTCTGAAGGCAGCTGAAGCCAGGGGGTCCAGCTGCTTACTCCCTCTGCACCTCAGTGTCCCCTTTTCAAGTAATGATATGAGGCGTCTCCAAGTAACAATATGAGGTATCTCTAAGGCTCAAGGACAGGGTGCTGCAAGGGAGCGGCCATACAAAGCAGAGCAGCGGCCTTGGGGGCATCTGACAAGTGAGGGGGGTCTCCCAGTCTAGGGTCAGGGGCCCTGCTCAACCTGCTGAGCCCTGAGCACAGACCCAGAGATCTGGATGCATCAAGATGCTGGGCCCTGGAAGGTGGGTCAAGGCTGAACAGAAGGCTCCCAGCAGCAGATACAGGGGGCTGTGTGTTTTGGAATCAACTCCCACAATTCCACCTGGCTCATTGTGGCCAGAATCGCTGTCAGGGAAGCCACTGCCCACCCCCCCGGGGAGAGGAATCAACTTGCTGCCTTCCTGCCACACCCTCTTGCCCACGTTGCACCCCCCCACACACAGGTGGTTCCTGCAACCACAGTGCTGAGTAGGGGTAGCAGCAGAGCCCAGACTTGGACAGACTGACACGGCTGGGATGCCGACCTCACGCAGCATCGGTGTTTCCGGCCAGGTTCCAGCAGCCAGAGTGTGGAGTCCTGGCCCCGGCGAATTAAAGGCCCTGCTGTGCTGGCCATTGGGGCCAGGCCAGGGTCAGCCCCCCCCCCAGTGTCCCCAGAGCCACCAGAACGGCCCCCGCGTACAGGTTGCGCTGCTCAGCCGAGGCACTCCCTCTGGTCTGGGCGAACACATCGAAGCTATCCCGGGGCTGGCACTGCTGCAGCGAGCTCAGGGTGCCGCTGACACTCTCTGTACCCAGGTCTGCATACAGAACACAGCACAGGTGACCACAGATGTGGGCCTGACCTCGGGAAGGACCGCCCTCCTCCCCAGTGGACTGCCCCTGGTGGGTGGAAGTCCTGGAGGGCAGAAAGGTAGAGAACGGCCACAGCCCCCCACGCTGCTCCAAGACAAGGGCAAGCAGTGAGCAGGCAGGCCCTGCAGGGCACGCCAGAAGCCAGTCACAGCGGCCATGGACCAGGGTCCCTTATATGACAAATATCACATAGGTGCCCACAGGCCACCAGTCAGCCGCCAACCCTTCCAAGCCTGGCGGGGCCTCAGCAGCCTTCAGGGCTGCAGGTCCAGCACCTGAGGAGCTGACACCGGTATGCCACCCTGGCCCAGCTGACACTGAGAGGAAAGATCACTTGGGCCACACAGGACGTCTGCGTACAACACAGCAGCCACCTGTCCTCAGCCTCCAGTTCCTTGGACCGCCACCCCCCACTCCAGGTTTCCAAGAAGTTCAAACTCTAAGCTTAGGGAGAAGCCTTGAGCTGAAGCTGGCATAGCAGGACCCAGCCTACGCTCCCCCATGGACCCCCCTGAGGCCAGGAGGTGGGGGGAGGCCTGGGACACTCACCCAAGCCAGCGAGCTGGGAGGAGAGAGAAGATGGGGGTGCTGTGCTCCCCACAGTTGGGCTCACCACGGCTGGAGACCCTGGGCCCAGGTCTATGAGGTTGTCCTCTGTCACTTCGCTCAGCACCTGCCAGGCAGGAGACATGCTGGTCCAGAGGGGAAAGCCCACAAGATCCCGGGGCTTCCCTGCAGCCACCCACCAGGGATGTGCCCCCAGCCTCCCCCTCAGAGCTTGCTCTTCCATCACCCTAATATTTCAACCACAGTTAAGAAAACCAGAGGTAAGGTCAAATCCAGGCCAGTCTCCTGGCCCCCAGGCAGTTGAGAAGGAACACTCACCCCATTAGTGGCATTTTGAGCCGACCGGCCTGACCTGTATCGTTCGAACCTAAGGAAGAAGGGAAAGTGGAGTAAGGAGGGTGCGGGGAGGTGAAGCCATGGTGCTCACGGGCCCGCAGGCCAGTAGAGACCCAGGCTCATTTGGGGGTCGGAGAGTGGACACTCCGTACACACACACCTTTGTCCTGCCTGCCTTTGCATGGGGTGACTGGGGTGGGGGTCAGCCTCCCCACAGGCACTGCAGCAGAGGGAGGAGGTGCTGGCTGGCACGTCCAGGAGGCATCAAAGCACACCCTGGGCTCCTCTGGCTCAACTGTCACTCACTGAGCTCCTGTGGCCTCCCAGACCACAGGCACCTCTGGACCCTGCAGGGGCGCCACCTTCCCTGGGGGCATCTCAGATCCAGGCGAGAACTGCCACCCTCCCTGTCCGGCAGCTCTGCTGGGGAGTGAGGAGCCGAGGTGCTGGAGGAAAGGGTGGGGCCCACAGGCTGGCACCTGGAGGCGGAAGGCGGGCTCAGGCCCCAGCAGCTGCGCAGGGGTCAGTCAACAGAGAGAGGACCTAGCCTGGCCAAGGACAGACTCTCCTCTCCTGAACTCAAGGCATTCTGTCCCAGGCAGGGACCAGCATGGCAGCCCCAACACTGTAGACTAAGGCCTCTTACAGCTGGGGTTCTGCTGGGGTTCCTGCCCCTCAGTGGTCCCCGCCACATGCCGCAGTCACTCCTGGTGAGCAGGAATCCCAAGGACAAGCTGGGACGTGGTTTGTACTCAGTCTACACGGACAGGAATTCTAACCCACCTGCAGTTCGTGTGCTGGAGCAACTCCCCCATGCCCTGTCCGTCCTGTCAGAGGCTCTCTGGCCAGAAGGTCTGCCAGCGCCAGGCTCTGCCTGTGTATCACCAGTACCCTATTCCTGAGATGGGTTTACTGGGTGAGAAGCTCAGTCCATCGAGACTGGAGACATGGGAGATGCAGGGCAGGGCCCAGGGCTCTGGGGCTGGGAGTTGAGCTCCCCCCGACCCAGCTCTACTCCTGTGCCCCTTGGCACTCAGGGCCCCGGATGGCCCCACATTCCTACCGTGGTCGGCCTGTCACCCAACTGGCGGACACAGGGCCACCCACTGCTGCCGCCACAGCTGAAGCAGAAACAAGGCCCGGAGTTGTGGCACCCACAGCAAAACCAGCCTGAGGCCCAGATGCCCACTGGTCAGGTGGACCTTCTGCAACACCAGGTCGTCAGGCCAGGGTCTGCAGCCCGGAGGCCACCTCATCCTGAGGGCAAAACGCTGGCCTGGCCAAGGTGCTTCTTAGGGCAGCCCCCTCCAGACCCGGGGTGGGAACCCGCTCACCACCACCTGCCTGCTTAACACTGCCTGGATCCCACACTTCTTCCCGAGGGAAGGCTCCGGGAAGGGAGAGAATATGCAGGTTTGCTACCTTGAACCCCAAACTGACTTGTCTGCAGGAGAGAGAGAGAGTGCCCATGGCAGTGAGCGACCGGCGCCACTCACACCCCTTGCCTCAGAGCCTCCAGACACTGACGTTGCAAAAGAGAGAATAGTCTCTCTTTTTAAATATGGGAAAGAGGAAATCTTCCCTGGTAGAGATTTCCCCCCTTAATCCTTTGCAGATTCAGGGGCTCCTCCAAGGAGCAGATGCAGCAGCCAGGGGTTCCCGGCCATTCTCCCTCCTGGGCGGGAGGCATGGGACCAGCCTGAGGCTCACGGAGGGCAGCGCCTGCCTCCACGCCCCCGCCTCGCCCCCCGCCCCCCCCACCCCACCCCACCCCACCCCCACCCCCCACCCCCCGCCGCAGGCCCCACCCCCTGCCACAGACTTTGCCCCCTCCCCCCCTCCCCCGCCTACCCCCGCCCCCCACCTCTCATAGCGCAGGAAGACGTTGTTGAGGTCGTCGTTGACGTGCAGCAGCTCCTCTGTGACCTCCTCGTTGCACACGCGGGAGATAAGCTCCACCACGCGCTGCTGCATGGCGCGGCAGGTCCGGTGCAGCTCCTGCGGACACACGGCCCGGCTACCGCGGGCTCGCTTCGGAGCGGCGCGTGCCGACTCTAGAAGCCACCCCAGAGCTCGTGCTCTAGAACCCACCACAAGGCCGGGCGTGTGCGCGAGGCCCGGAGGACACCCCTCTGCCACCCCCAGTAAATGAACAAGCGTCCTAGTGTGCGCTCTGCTATGTGTGGAGAACAACTTCACACAGACTGCTTGTAAAACCTGAGAACACAATTCCCTGCAGTTGCTTCCTCTCTTCAACAGAACATGCCAGACGCCACCCCATCACTTGGGACAGGCTGCCCCATCCTCTGTATCCCCACGCATCTCAACGCTTTCTGGGCACCCGCCAAGACTGCTTGTGCGCTGTGAACACACACGACTCACGCCTCCAGCACGCCCCCAGCCGCCCCCCCCCACCTCTAGTTAGCAAAGCCGGGCTCCCACCCACCCCAGCGGAAGCGCCACCAGCGTAAGGAGAACAAGCCCCTCCGCGGACTGCAGGCAGCGACTCCAGCACCGGGCACACCTGTCCGAAGAAGCGACAGCACCAGCCTGGAGAAGGCGGGACTGTAGTCAGCCTCCCCTGGAGCCCAGCCCCTGCGGGGTGTCAGGGCTACAGGGAGCAGTCCTGACCCTCAGCTGTCGGGTACGAGGAGGGGGTGGGAGAAGAGGTGAAGCTCTGCCCAGAGCCCTCCCAAGCCCAAGGCGCTGCCCCCCCTACCCAGTCCCCCACCCAGGGTTCTGGCCCCTGCCACGACAGCCAGGGTGCCTCATCTGCTTTCACCTGTTTAATATGCCAGGGGTCTCTGTAGAGTTTTACTCCTGGAGGAAGGGTTCCCTGACCCTACAGAGCATTTGGGAAGCACTAGATGATTTCTGAAGGAGGAGACCCAAAGTTGAACACTAGTCCCTGGCTCCTGTGGCCTTCAGCTGAAGCGGAGGGGGCAAGACAGCCCCCGACCCACTGTCAGGGCCTTGGGTGTGCCACACCTGGGCCAGCACCTGGGGGCCCCTCATGGAGCTTCACCTACACATGGACCCAGATCATGGGCCTCCTGGGGTCTCTGCAGAGAAAAAGTTTTACCTTCTCCTTGCTTCAAACTTTTAAGTTATTATATTAAAAAGTTACAAAGGACAAAGAAAGAGAAAGAGATTGTATAAGTGAGAAAGACCACAGGGCATAAAGATTTGTGCCACCCACCGACCACCCTCAGGGCCTCCAAGCGACCATCCACAGCCAGACGCAGCAGCTCCAGGCAGACCTTCCTGCCTCCCTCCAGCTCCACGCCACCCAGACAGGCACCTTCTTCCGGTCCTGAACTGAGACAAGGAAACCGGAGCCTGCCACCAGCCCTAGCTGAGACAGGAACGTCCTCACCGCGGACAGTCTCGGTCTGGCCTCCTGGGTCTGGGTCTCAACAGTGGGGTGAGCAGCTGGTCACGGCTCTTGGTGCAAATGCCCTCCATCCATCAGAGCACCTGGCAAAATATCCTTTTCCTGTCTAATTAATCCCCACACCTTCATCTTTTCTTCAGGGGACATTCTCATCCCCACCTTGCAGAACAACCTTTTAATCATCTTGCTGGGTTCCCAGGAGCAGGGAATGGGGTCCTGCAGATCTGTGCTCTGCAGCTACAGAGGAGACGGAGGAAGAGAAAGCCTTTGTTGACGACAAGAGGAGAATAATGAAGCTGAACACATAGTCAACTAGATTTCTCTGGAGAAAAGAGTCCTGGCCATCTCGGTTTCTATTGAAATGAGATGCAAGAAGCAAGAGGGGATAAACCGTCTGCTATTTGAAGAGACAATGTGGGGCAGGGCTTCTTCCAGGAGCCTTCCAGGCTTTGGGGGACAGCTGTGAAGGAATGCCTGTTCTGGGCGCCACTGGCTTAATTAAATGTTATCGCTAACTGCAGACAAAGCTGCAGAGGCTTGTCTGGGGGCAGCAGGGGCATGGCCGTCGGCACCGGCATCCCAACGATTCCAAAGCCTGGACTCCCGCATGCGACTGAGGGCTGAGCTCCAGCAAACAGAGGCAGAGCCTCAGGTTTCAGGCCCAGACCTGGAGCCCACACGCAGCCGGGAGACGTGGCTGGAGAGCTCTAGAGGGAGATGGAGGTTCCCCAGCACTGCCTCCTGCTGAGAAACACCAGCGAGGGAGGGTGGCCGATCACAGCAGTGAAGGACCTGCCGCACAGGAGATGAATTCATGTTGCTCAGCTGGTGGGGCCGCAGGCAGGGGGTGGACGTGGACGGACAAGCATGCACAGCCCCAGTGGCTCTGACAAGCTATGCCTGGCCCTATGCTGGTGACTCTTCAGCTGCTTCCCAGTCCTTTGCCAGGGCAGCGATTACTCCAGGCTCCGAGTCACCAGCTCCCCGGCACCCCTCAGCTGCGGCTCTTCTGCTCTGTCGAGTTGCTTCCCAAAGTCTATCCGAATCCTGTGTTTGGAGGAGGAGGTGCTTCCCAGGCCTGTCACTGAAGATGTTCAGGAATGAGGGTGCTAGGCAAGCTGCCGTCGGGGGCCAGCATAGGGCAGGGCTGGACCAGCTGCCAGCAAGTCTCTCTGGCCCAGAGAGAGGCCTCTGTGCTACTCCAGGCCCTGGCCTCACCATCCCAGGGGCACTCGGTCTTGCCTCATCCACCTTGCTCCAGTCCCTGCCGCTCCACAGGTCCTTCATGAAATGCAGGAGGCCGTTGGTCACCCTCTCAGATGCTGTTCGCCGCAGTGGTGTGCCTCGCTGACACCTTCTGCTTCCCTCTTCCCATGTCCTCCACCTCCTACCCAGCAATTTACACTCAAATCCGCAGCAGCTTCTGCTGGCGTGAACATTTGGGCTGATGACAAGCGCATTTATTCCCATCGTGAGCTCTGGACAGCTCTGCCCTGAGCAGTCTGGCTGCTCTCCAGCCCGACCCTTTGCCAGCAGACTGTGGCACTTTCCCACGTGGAGCCTTGCTGTCCAGTGCAGCCCTGACCCCCAGGAGACCCCACCTGGCTGGCTTCCGGCTGTGGGGGAGGAGAGGAGGGGGGTGTCGGGGACAGCTTGAGAGGCACAGCCAGCAGCCAGCAGACCCTGTCTGCTCATAGCGCTGCCGGCTTGTGAGTCTTTCGTGCCAAAAGGACAGCCTCCCACTGGCACCCAGGGCCATCCTTACTGTTTGGTTCATAAGACAGCAGCGAGCGGGCAGGCTTGGAGTCAGAGCAGAACAGAGAGGAAGGAAACGTCATGGGAAGTAACCTATTTTTGAAAACTGTGAGCTGACGCCAAGCGATCAGGTTCTGTGTGTCTTGGCTGACAGGCTTGTTTGAACACACACACATACATGCACACACACACGCAGAGTGCATGCTGTCTGGTCGGCCCTGGCTCTCTTGTTTGAACACACACACACACACGCAGAGTGCATGCTGTCTGGTTGGCCCTGGCTCTCTTGTTTGAACACACACACACACACACACACACACACGCAGAGTGCATGCTGTGGTCGGCCCTGGCTCTCTTGTTTGAACACACACACACACACACACGCAGAGTGCATGCTGTCTGGTCGGCCCTGGCTCTCTTGTTTGAACACACACACGCAGAGTGCATGCTGTCTGCTCAGCCTTATCTGTCTTGTTTGAACACACACACACACATACGCGTGCAGCGTGCATGCTCTCTGCTTGGGATTGGCTTTGTTCCACTATCCCCGCTGCCAGGACCTCTGTTCTGCCCACTGCAGACTGGTCAGCAGGAACTTGGTGCTGACACAGCACAACACTGCCTTAGGAGGCCCTCTCAGGTCCTAGGCCTCGGGTAACACCTGGAAGATCCTCTCAGGCTGCGGGTGGAGGCCACCACGTGGCTGGCACATGGGCGAGCTGGGAGGCCCTCCACTCCGTGTCCAGAGCAGCTGGTGGGCCTGGGCCCAGAGAGGTGCCACGGTTGAGTGCCTCCAGGGCAGGGACCACAGCCCAAACATCTCTAGGCTGGCTTCCCCACCCCGTCCTCAGGGGCTGGAAGGGGCACGACCAGCACCACTCAGGCCCAGACCACTGGTGCGGGCTGTGTGCCCTCCTGAAAGACAGCAGCAGCGTGCCCACGGCAGGTGCGGTGTGGCCCTCAGGCACCAAGGCCAGCCCCCTGAGTGGAAGGTGTGGCAGGTGCTCCCACGGGCCACGCCGTCAGCTCTGCCCTGTCGCCCAGGCATCTGCTCCTGCGGGAGACCCTCCCTCACACCACGTTCTCCCCACCCCCAGAGGGGCTGCCCCTGCAGGCTGAGCCGCTGCCACTTCCCAGACACCAGAGCCTCTGAGACGGTGTGGGGAGGGCCAGGTCCCAGCTCTGGGCTCAGTGGAGGAGGAGCCCAGGCACACATGGGGCAGGAGCCCTGTGGGCCAGCCATATTCCTAGACCCCTTTCTTCCAGGTTCCTGGACCTACAGGTAGCCAGTGGGCAAGGATATGAGCCACCCTGGCCCAAGTACCTCAGTATCACCCCATTTGTCTCACAAGGAGCCCCTAGGAACAGGAAGAGTTGACAGTCCCTGCATGTTTGTGACATTGAGTGAACAAAACATAAAATTATACACATACTATCACCTCATATGGAATAAACACAGAAAAAATGTCTGAAAGAAAATTCACCAAAACCAACAGTGCTTATATGTGAACGCTGGGATTAAAGGAAATCGTTTTCTCCTTTGTACTTCCTTTCGTTTTTGATGGGTATATAGTCTACAACTGGCATTTTGTAACCAGGAAAACAGGTTTTTAAGAAGAATAGAGAAGAAAGCGCCAGGGACTGGCCTCTGATGGCCCCAGAATGCACGGGGCCGATACAGGCTTCATTAACTCAGTCCCTCTTAAGGATGGGCCCAAACCCTGAGCTGCCTCCTGTGACCGCGGCCCAAATGCCCTCACCTGCAGCAGCTCCAGATCGGATGAGTCCTCCTGCCCAGGAACCATCTCAGTTAGCATCTCGGACATGACCTTTGTGTTTCCTCGAACAACATCCAGTTCACTCCGCAGTCTGGCAATCTGTGGGGCCGGGGGGCAGGAGGGGAGCAGGCGGTGGTCAGCGAGCTGGATGTGGCCTCACTCGTCTGCCTGCGTGAGGGTGCTGGCAGCTGGGGCTCCCAGGGGCAGCACTTGGGTGGGGCGAGGGGGCCAAGCAGGGCCTGCAGGGAACATGAGCCTCTCAGGCCCATTTATGCTCCTTCACATGCTAGTGAACGTGGTGCCCAAGGTCCCTGCAGGGCTGGGGGCCTTGTCCAGGAAACTCACAGCTGTAGACTCTGGCCCGGGAATCAAGGTCTAACCACCGCAGCCAGCATGAGCCGCACCTTCCCCACCAGCCCCCACCCAGGGAGGGGGCAGATCCCAATTGCCAGCCCCCCAGCACAGACAGCCTGTCAGGGGAGGGTCTCGGTAGCCATCCACCTGCAAACATGTCTACCATCCCTTTTCTCAGGGCAGGGAGGCCATGTGCCGGCCATGGTGGGGTCCCTCCCATCTCTGCCTCCACAGCGGGCAGCCTTCTCACTGGGTAGATCTGAGCCTCTGCGGGCCACGCATGGTCATGATGTTCACAGCTCAGCTCCTGCCTGATTCCTGGCCACCCTGCCCCAGCCCTGTGTTTCCATTCCCATCCCCCCTACCCTCTCCAACTTCCCCACCCCCACCTCCAGCTCCATCCAGGGAGGCCTGGTCTGTCTCCTGGGAGGGGACCGAAGACAGCTGGCAGGTCACCCGTGGCCCCAAGCGCACAAGTACCTGCTCAGAATTGGCAGTGATGGGGCCCGCAGTGCTCAGAGCCGGGGCCTGCGGGGCCGAATAGGGGCCACTGCTCGTCCTCGGCTGTGACTGGGACTTGGGTGTGGTCGCGGCGGGGTCCACCTCCGGGACGCTCTGGCAGGGCAACCACAAAGGCTGCTGTCAACTGGGCCACCCATGCAGCCGGCCTGGCACCAACACTGCTCCCACCCTGGGACTGCACGTCAGCCTGACCCCCTCGCCCCCTACCTCTCCTTCCCCCACTAACCTCACAGGCACCCCACGCAACCCAGAGAGCCAGACCCCACAGCCCGAGGGCTCTGGCTGCCCTCACTCCGTCAGGACCACCACGGGGTCTGAGCAGAGGGCCCACTGCTATGGAGGAGCCCCTCAGGAGACCTTACATGGTACCAGAAGATGACATTTTGGCCTTTGCAAGTAGACTAATGTAAATAGTAATCATGTAATTTACCGACTGTCCTCTGTAATCATATGAACAATACCGTTCTGTTATTACTCAAAAAATAAAAACACGTCTGTTTACCCCACAAAGCACAGCCAAGGGCCTGGAGCATCCAAGCAAGAAACGCTGGAAAGTCCAGGTCCCCATGCTTCCCTCCGAGCCCCTGATGGCCTCTTAACATGAGTTGAGAAGCCTGAAAGCTGTTCTTTGCCCCACGAGCAGTGAGGCTATCAACCCCTCAGCATCTGCAGTGTGGAAGTGGAGCTGGAGGGGCTTGGGGCCCCAGGGAGATGCAGTCCCCCAGATGCCCTGCTTGGAGAGCAGGCACCTGACCCTCCCAGGATGGAGCGCCACCTCCTGACAGCATCCTCACTGGTCCCTGGGGTCACAGCCCCCATGATTGGGTGAAAACTGGGGGACACTGCTGCCACTGAGGCCCCACAGACAGCTGTCTCCCTCTGGCACCACTTTATTGTCAACAAGAGACGCCCTGGAGCCCTAAGGAAGCTGCTGACAAGCTGAACAACCCAGAGAGTATCTGCAATGGGCTCCTGGGAGGCTCACCCGCTGCGGTGTGTGGATGGGGGACAGCGCGTCCAGGTCAGCCATGGGGAACTCCACACCCTTCCTCTTCAGCTCCTCATAGGCATGCACAACTCCTGTGAGGTCAGGGCTGCTCCGGAAGGCATCGGCCCACGCCTGGAGGGGAGAAGTGACCTATTAGTGGTGCCGGACACTCAGGGCCGTGGCCCAGCCACTCTGCTCCTCCTGCCAGAACTGCCAGGCTAAGTGCAGATGGAAACAAAGCACAAAACCAAATCCAACATGGGGCACCTCCTAGAGCAGTGACAAGAAACCCCACCCAAGTCCTGGGGCTGAGCCCAGGTGACGCGCCTGACCATGATTGGCTGCAAGCTGTGTGGGACAGGAGTGTGGCCTCCTCACTCTGCACGGGGAGGTCCAGGCTGACCCCAGGCTTCCTCAGTAGGTCAGGGAGCCCAGAGCCCATCTGTCTGGCTGCCCATCTGACGGGTGGGTGCCTGCAGCCAGGGCAGGAAAGCAGGAGCTGCCCACAGCATCAGGGGACGTGTGCCCTCATGGGACAGTCCACAGGGAGACTCAGCCACCAGGTTCTGTTAGATCAGACGCAATCAGAAGAGGAAAGGACACATACTTCAATAGACTGCCACTCATCCCTGGTTCATGGAACCGTTACATTTTTTTAAACAATTCTATTCTTCAGAAGTTACAGAATATATATATAAAAAAAAGAAGGACCTCCAGAGGAAACCCCAAAAAAAGCAGGCCCAGAGAAGGCACAGCTGCCTCCCTGACTCCAGAAGTGTTCCAGCCAACCCTAGGTCAGAGACCTGTCCCTCACCAGCTGACTACCAGAAGCCAAGAGGTCAGTTTTCAAAGAGACTCACTCACTTCCGCTGCTGCATCTCACGAACCACAGACCCTGCCAAGAGCCTGGCCTCCGAGGTCTACTTCTCCCATCTGCACCTGCGGGGACTTCACGCCCATGTCAGGACGGCCCAAAGTGGCCACAACGTGGTGTGGCCTGGACGCTGGTGGGCGGCAGGGCCGCAGCGGCAGCACCAGCAGGAGCACAGAAGCACCCAGAGCCCCTGCCTCCACCAGCTGCCCTGGTTGTGCCACCTGATTCAAACCCAGCTCAGTCCTGTGACTCCACCTTCAAAACGGGCCAGCTCTTAGTCTCAGACCTAAACTTTAGGATCTGAGAACGGCCCATAGCCTCAAGGGAGGTCGGGGAGAAACAGGGGTGTGGCGGCTACTTCCAACACAGCCTCTGCCATTACTTCTGCAGGAGGGTGACAGCTCCAGGAGCTCCCCCCACAAAACTGACATTGAAGACCTCAACTGTCCCTTCCAGTCAGTGACACTCCTCAGGGCACCTGCCCAACAGCCATCAACAGGCCCCTGAAGGCACTGGAGGGCAATGTGTGCCCAGCTGCTGGGTCAGGTCCTCTCTCCACAGAGCCTGGCCAGGCCCGGGGGGGCTGGGCTGCTCTCTGGGGAGACATGGGCCTTGGGAGATGGCCACGAGCCAGTGGGACTGGGAGGAAAGGCTGAGGACCCCGTTCATTCTCCATCTGTCCACCTGCTCTCCTCCATGCAGGCTGGCTGTGAGCACAGGACAAAGTTGTTCGGAGGGGACTGAGTCTGGAGGAGGTCAGACTTCCCCAAGCCACTAGGGCCACCTTCAAGTGCGTGCACCTAAGGCCCAGCCCAGGGCTGCACAGGTCACCCAACCAGCAGGGGCTTTCCAGGACATGGTGGGGGTCTCAGACTTGCAGTAGGGAGGCAGGGACCAGGCGCCTTTACAGAGGAGGTGGGAGAGGCCCAGGGCCACCGACCCACCTGGATGAGAGCGAGCACCTTGTCCTGCACAATGGTAGGGGGGCTGTTCTTGGGAGAGATGACCTTGACCAGGACGCTGTCAATGAAGTCCCGGTTGGCCACGAGCACGTGGAAGCGGTGGCCGCAGTTCTTCACACACGTCTCCAGCACCTGACGTGGGCAGGAAGAGAGGTCACCCCTGGGGCTGAGGGGCAGCAGACAGCCACCTCCTGCCTGGACTGTCCTGCCAACCAGTTCCTCCAGAGTCAAACTCGAGGCACAGGTGACCCCTTGCTGGCCAGGGTCCCTGGGCTGCACAGCAGTCAGAAGGCACCAGCTCTTGCACAAGAAGGATGCTGGGGTTTCAGTGGGGTCAACTACTGAGCATTCCCAAGAAACGAGCCTCTGAGAGGACATTGATGGTCAGTGGACATGGGCCCTCATGGGAGGAGGCCGCCAGGATGGCCTGCAGCCTCCTCTGAGCACCCATCTCCGCCCACCCTGAGGCATGGGCCACCCTCCTCCAAGATCAGTAGCTCCTCAGATGACAGGCAACCTCTGCCAGGATCTTGTCCCTTCATCTGGTTCTTAAAGTGCCCTGGACAGAGGCAGTGGAGCCCCAGAGCCTAGGAGAACAGGAGCTGCAGAAGGAAGGGGTCCTGGCTGGCACAGCCCACTGCAGGCTGCTCTGCCAAAGAAGTGAACCCCTCCCCATGGCCTGAGGGCCCGAAAAATGTGGGAAGTTTCCAGAATGTGGCCAAGGCCCACGAGCAGGCAAAAAAAAAAATTAGCAAAATAAAATCTGATAAGGTGTTAATATCCAGAAGTATATAAGGAACTCATGCCACTCAACAGCAAAAAACCAAACCATCCTATTTAAAAATGGGCAAAGGACTTAAGTATTTCTCCAAAGAAGCATACAGATGATCAACAGGCACCTGAAAAGAAGCTCCACATCACTGCTCATTAGGAAAACACAACTAAGAACCACAATGATGGAGAAGAAAATGACAACCTGCTCCAATATTCCTGCCTGGGACATCTCATGGACAGAGGAGCCTGGAGGGCCACAGTCCATGGGGTCGCAAAGAGTCAGACACGACTTAGTGACCGACAACAACAAATACACAATCAGACAGATGGTGATTTGGGGAAGTATCTCTTCATGAAAAGATGGCATAAAATGGAGAGTGAAGTAACCGAGCAAGATGGAATGTAGTGTTTTGTAAGAAACTTGTGTATAGAATAATAGCTGCAAATATTCAAACAATAAAGTCTGTGGCTAAAGGGGAAAAAAACACAATGAGCTATCACCTCACAACTTATCTGTTGCCTATCTAATTAAAAAATATATTTATTTATTTGACTGCACTGGGTCTTAGTTGTGGCAGGAGGGATCTAGTTCTTTGGCCAGGGATTGAACCTGGGGCCCCCTGTATTGGGAGCGTCGAGTCTTAGCCACTGGGCCACCAGCGAAGTCCCTATCTAATTTTTCAAGTTGTGAGTTTATTAAGTGGTTCTTAACATTGCATTTTTTGTTTGTTTTATTTGAAAAGAGTTTAAGAAAAATCTAAATTCTATTAAAACATCTGAGGAATGTTGAGGACAAAAGATGTAAGTGTTGGTGAAGGTGTGGAGAGAAGGGAACCTTTGTGCACTGCTAGCGGGAATGTAAACTGGTGCCACCACTACAGAGAGCAGAAAGGAGGTCCCTAGGAAACTAAAAATAGAGCTACCGTGATCAGCAATCCCGCTCCTGGGTGAACATCCAAAGGAAATACTATCAGGTTTTTGGAGAGTCACACGCACCCTGATGCCCACAGGTGCCTTGTTCACAACAGCCAAGACATGGAGGCAACCTAAGTGTCTACTCGTGGGTGAATGCATGAAGAAAATCAAATGGGACACATACATAGACACACACACACACACAGGAATATTATTCAGCCATAAAAAGAAGGGAATCCTGCCCTTTGCAACAACAGGGATGATTTTCAAGGGTATTAGGTTAAGTGAAATAAATCAGACACAAATAATGTACGATATGACTTACATGTGGAATCTAAAAATTCCAAACTCAAGAGACAGAGAGTTAGGACAGTGGATGCCAAGGGCTGGGAGTGGAGGAGACAGGGTAAGGCTGGTGAAGGGTACGTCTCAGTGGTGAGGTGGGTGAGTTCTCGGGTCCAGAGAACGTGGTGACTATAACCTACAGTACTGCGGTGCACACTCGGAAGCTATTTATGTATTTATTTTGGCAGCTCTGGGTCTCTGTTGCTGTGCACAGGCTCTCTTTAGTTGCAGGGAGCAGGCTTCTCTCGCTGCGGAGCACAGGCTCTCAGTGCTCGGGCTTCAGCAGTTGTGGCTTGTAGGCTCAGGAGTGGTGGCGCACGGGCTTAGCTGCCCCATGGCACGTGGGATCTTCCAGGACCAGGGATTGAACCTGTGTTCCCTGCATTGCTGCTAAGTAGCTTCAGTTGTGTCCAGCTCTGTGCGACCCCACAGACGGCAGCCCACCAGGCTCCGCTGTCCCTGGGATTCTCCAGGTAAGAACACTGGAGTGGGTTGCTATTTCCTTCTCCAATGCATGAAAGTGAAAAGTGAAAGTGAAGTCGCTCAGTCGTGTCTGACTCTTTACGACCCCACGGACTGCAGCCTACCAGGCTCCTCTGTCCATGGGATTCTCCAGGCAAGAGTACTGGAGTGGGTTGCCATTGCCTTCTCCAGTTCCCTGCACTGGCAGGCAGGTTTTTAACCACATTTGAAAAAATGTTAGGTTTCAAGACAGAGAGAACACCAGAAGCCGTCCCTTTTAATTTTCTGACATCCTGTGTGCATGCTAAGTTGCTTCAGTGGTGTCTGACTCATTGTGACCCTATGGACTGTAGCTCACCAGGTTCCTCTGTGCTTGGGATTCTCCAGGCAAGAATACTGGAGATTCTTGGCAATACTGGGTTGCCACTTCCTTCTCCAGGGGATCTTCCCGACCCAGGAATCAAACCTGTGTCTCTTATGTCTCCTGCATTGGCAGTGGGGTTCTTTACCACTAGTGCCCCTGTGAAGCCCTCTGACATCTCAAGGACAGGCAAAAATCTGATCTGTTCTTTCCTGAAAGGAGTCACTTGCTGATTTTCCCAAGACCCTCTGCAGCGATGTTCAGTTTTTACCCCTTAATCCAGTTGGCACCTCACTAGCTCTGACATCTGAGCAAACCTTGGGCCTCTCCGAGCCCATTTCTTCATCCTTAAAAGCGGATGAGGAAACCTTCTTGGGAAGTTTTCTGGAAACAACATCTGGGCAGGTGCTCAGGGGAGCCAGCACTCTCACAGGGAGGGAGCTGACCCCAGAGGAGCAGCTGGCCTCAGAATCCCATGGCAGACTGGTGAACAACAGGGACCCGTGCCCAGGCCTGGGGCCTCTCTGCTGGGGGCTTCTACCGGACAGCACTATCCACACCTCGTCCCTGCTAGCACGTCGTCAGACTCGGGCTCACGTATCTCAGAGGGCAAGACACTGGGGTAGCAGCAAGAGGCACTGCTGTCTGGGCCGAGGCTCCTGGCCATGCTCCCATCCTGGGAGAGGGGCAGGGGCACTCACAGTCAGCGCCAGCATCACCTCCCGGTAGTTCCGGTTCCCGTTGAGCCGCTTCTTCAGGGCCCGAATGGCGTCCTTTGGCCTGGAGAAGAGACAAGTACAGACCCTGTCAATCCTGCCTGGGCACTGCCCAGAGTCAGGGCCAGAGTCAGGGCCGCCTAGAGTCAGGGCCACAGTGTCAACAGCGTGTACATGACCTTATTTGCCACTGCCCATTTGTAAATGAGAAAGACTGCAGACAAATGAAATGCCCATCAACGCGAATCAGGTTAAATTAAACCATGCTTCTCTACACAATGGAGTACCATGCAGCTGCACTGAAGAATGCAGAAGTTCCTCACACCAGTCCAAAGATATGGACCAGCATCATTTGCAGAGCCGGGCAGAGGGGACGCTGCCACATAAGCTCAGAAGGACAAGGAGCACCTGGCATACATGTCCGACGTCCGTAGGGAGGGGACCCTGGAGGGATCTGACCCTGGGAAGGGTGTAGGGCTGAGGAGCAGGGACTGTTCCTGGGGTCACACGCAGGCTCCGGCCCCCTTGAATTCTACATCACGTGCAAGCGTGGTTCTCCCAGAAGAATGACCAGCCGGCTGGCACGTGGGCTCAAGAAGGGAACCTGGCCAAGTCCCTGCACAGGCCTGGATGTCCAGCCTCTGGCTCCGGGGAGCACCTTTCTCCCTGAGAAAACTGAAGTAAGCCTGCTCAAAAGTCCAGGAGTTGTGGGTTTGAGACTCCAGATCTGACCAGGCTGCCTGGGGCAGAACTGCAGGGCCTCCAGCTGACACGACTGCATCACATGCTGACCATCCAGGACACACTCTTCCTGAAATCTCGGACACGGCCGGGAGGTGGGTCCTCAGCCTGCCCAGGAGGGCATCTACTGGGCACAGCCCTGTGTCTAACACATTGTGTAATTTATTCTCAGCCAGGATTCAGCAAAGCCGTGGTGCCAGGAGTAACCTGGGCATGAAACCCCTGCCCCCAGCACCACATCACCTTCTCTCAGGAGCCCCTGCCCTCTGGGCTCCCACCCGCAGGTCAGCATAATTTAGGTCTAAACTGGGGCCCTCCTATTTTGATAGCTCAGAAATATTTGTTACCTACTTACCTACTTGCCAAACAAAAATGTCCTTTTAAAGTGTGTGAGAAAGCTGGGGGAGGGGAGGGAGCAGCTCTGCCAATTAGCCCAGTTAGACAGAAAGCAGAGGCTTCCAGAAGGAACAACAGACGCCAGCCTGCAGTCAGGCTGCCCACAGGAGTCCTCTGCTCCCGGGGAGGGGCCCTGTCGGAGGTGTGTGTGTGTTCTGTGTGTGCTCTTGTGTGCAGTGTGTGCGCACAGTGCATGTGCCGTGTGTGTGTGTGTCTGTGTGTGCTGTGTGTGTGTTCTTGTGTGTGTGCAGTGTATGTGTATGTGTGTAGTGTGCACACACTGAGTGTGCCCTGTGTGTCTCTTGTGTATGTGTGTGCCCTGTGTGGTGTGGTCTTGTGTGTGTTGTGTGTGCATGTGTGGTCTTGTGTGTGTGTGTGCAGTGTGTGTGTGTGCCCTGTGGGTGCCCCTGTGTGTGTGTGCTGTGTATGCTGATGTGTGTGTGCAGTGTGTGCCCTGTGTGTGCTGTGTGTGTGCCCTGTGTGTGCTGTGTGTGTGCCCTGTGTGTGCTCGTATGTATGTGCTCTGTGTGCTGTGTGCTCATGTGTGTGCCCTGTGTGTGCTCGTATGTATGTGCTCTGTGTGCTGTGTGCTCATGTGTGTGCAGTGTGTATGTGTGCAGTGTGTGTCCTGTATGTGCTGTGTGTGTGCTCTTGTGTGTCTGTGTATTGTGTGTGTGTGCTGTGTCTGTGTGTGGCTGCAGCAGCACTGCCCTGGGGAGAGGCCCTGCTGGAGCTGTGTGCAATGTGGCAGCAGTTCCTACAAGGGGTGTTGATTTATGCAAAAAAGGACTTGACAAGCTCTTGCTTTTGAGGACTTTGTGGATCTGAGCTCGTGGAGCTCCAGGGGCTCCTGGAGCCACCGGCCAGGAGCGTGATTGATTTCTCCTGTCTCAAAGGCTCCATCAAGTAGGGTCTTATCCCCTCCCTTTGAACTTCCACGGAGCAGTAAACAGGCAGAGCCACCCAGGGCTACGCTCGCTTGTGGCTCAGGGAGCATAGCACCCAGGGAGCACATTCCCAATGGGGAATGCATGGAGGGAAATCAGAGATGCTGTAGCTCTCAACTTAAGAGGGCAGGTGCTGCCTGAGAGGGAGCACAAAGACAAGTATTATTTACCCTTCTCCCAGAAAGAAGCCTGGAGATAGGATCCAAGTCCTATTGGGGGCCCCACACAGCTCCCTGCAGCAGCAGATCAGCCATGAGCCAGGAGCAGGGGAGCAGGGACCCAGAGACTGAGAGCAGGAAGGAGATACCACACCCGGCAGCTTCTGGGGGCGAGATCAGAGCTGCAGGAGCTGGCCTCCTCAGAGTCTCCACAGACCCCACACTCCTCCAGTCATCCTGAAGCCATCTGGTCCTTCGGCACCAGGACTGCCGCTTCTGAGCTGTTTCCTCCCTGTCCCCCAGGAGGGCGAGGCTGCACCCCCTTCATACCCTGGAAGCCCCCACTCCCTTCCTGCCACCCCTCCTAGTTGTTCCCTTGCTCCACTGCAGTTATTGGGCTCCTCCAGCATAGAGGCTGGGCACAAGGACTCTGTGAGCTGGGGAAGGTCCAAGATGGTCATGAAAATGACTGTGATCCTCACCAGAGCCAACCTGAGACTCCCGGGAGCTTTCATCAAACCCAGGTGCCTGCACCTGACTAGTAGTCCAGAGAGGCCTGGGAAACAGGATCTAAGACATCCAGGTTGGGGGGTATTATTCTGCCAGGCACTGCTGCTTAATGACCAAGGGCCCAGGGCACCAGGGGCAGCCACACAAGGCCCCAGGCTGGAGGTTACCTTAGGCCGGGCATCAGGGCAAGCCCAGCAAGGGGCCTATGGAAGAGCACATCAAACCTGTGCCCATCAGGACCCCAACCTGCCAGGTAAGCTCTGAATAAATGAAGGAAGCATACCCAGAGTTTCCAGGCTGGAGCCGGTCAGCAGGCCTTGCGTCCTGCATCTACCCTTCCGAACTGTGCTAACCTTGGGCAAGGGCTAACCCGGGCAAGCTTCAGCTTCCTCAACATTCAAAGGGGCTGGCCCTATCGCACAGGCTGGCGGAACCAGGGCCAGATACAAGGTGGGGGCCCAGGGCAGAGGCAGCCCCTCGCCCCTGTTGCCTCCCGGCCTCCTTGGTGACTGTGCACAAGTGGTCACTGCCCTCTCCTCCCCAGCTCAGCTCTGCACAGTCGAGTCACCAGCTGACCAGGGTGTCTTGTTCATGGCCTGCCTCCCTGCTCTGGAATGTCAGCGCTGAGCGAGGGAGTCTGTTTGTCCCCTGGGGCTGAGTATGAGGTGGTCACTCAGGAAAAACATGTTTAGTGAAATCAGGAGGCTGGTTCCCAGCCTCCACATGGCAAGGCCAGTAAGGACAGAGCTCAGGGCAAGGCCGGAGCTGCCCAGGTCTGGAGGTGGTTTACAAGGGTGCTACTACCATAAATTCCATTTTTATGGTACAGATAGAGAGTCAAATACCAACGAATTTGGAAAAAGTGCATGCAGAATGCAGCTGTGATGCAGAAGAGGATGTAAACACAGCAGCAGAGCAGACCCGGCGTTGCAGGGGCCGGGGGTCCTGGGCCCTGAAGGTCTTCCCTGCTCCACTGCCCACTACACATCCTGAGGGCTCTCTCCTTCACGGGGCTCTGTCCAGTCCAGCAAAGCAGGGCAGAGACAGCCCAGGGCTGCAGAGAGTGGGGGGAGGGGAAGATCAGCTGCAGGGGACTCAGTAACCAGGCAACTTCATTTTCACTTGTGATTAAAAGCAGGTTATTAAAGAGGGGGTCACTGTTCTGACTCTAGCAGTGCCTTTGGGGGCACCGGTGGGAGGGCGGAGCATCTGAGCATCACTCGGTCAGACACCGTGGTTGACAGGCCACCTGACCAGTGGGCAGAGGGGACACGCACCCTTCCTCAGTCTCATTGATGATGTCGCAGATCTCCATGTTCAATGTCCAGTCCTCGCTCTGCAGGGAGCCATCTGTTGCCTTTTCTGCAAATTCAGAAAGAAAACTACTTTACATTTCTGCTGGAATAAGGGGTCTGGCAGGAAAGACTGGGGACCGGATGCACCCCACTGCCCCCCCAAGCAGATGGGCTGAGCCAACAGCAGCTCTAGTGCTATTCCCGAGAGAACACCCAGGACAGGGGGTCAAGGGGTGACCCCCAATGCTGTCCTTCAGTCACTAAACTCACAGGAGTTGGAACTCTTAGAAGAAAATGCAGGAGGAGGGCTTCATGATGTTGGTGTGTGGGTGCTAAGTCGCTTCAGTAATCTCCGACTCTCTGCAATCCCATGGACTATAGCCTGCCAGGCTCCTCTGTCCGTGGGATTCTCCAGGCAAGAATACTGGAGTGGGTTGCCATGCCCTCTTCCAGGGGATCTTCCTGACCCAGAGCTCAAACCCTTATCTCTTACGTCACCTGAATTGGCAGGTGGGTTCTTCACCACCTGGGAAGCCCTCATAATATTGTATGTGGCAATAAAATTCATTCATGGATATGACACCAAAAGCACAGGCAACAGAAAAAAAAACAGATAAACTGGACTGCATAAAAAATGCAAACATTTCTGTGCATTAAAGGACACAATCAACAGAGTAAAAACAGAGTAACCTATGTTCAGAATGTTAGAAAATAGCTGCAAAGCTGATAAGGAGTTAGTATTTTTTAGGATAAACAAAGAACTATTACAACTCAAACACAACAAAAACCCCAATTTAAAAATGGGCAAAGGCACCCAGTCCCATCACTTCATGACAAATAGAAGGGGGAAAAGTGGAAGCAGTGACAGATTTTATTTTCTTAGGCTCCAAAATCACTGAGAATGGTGACTACAGCCATGAAATTAAAAGACGCTTGCTCCTTGCAAGGAAAGCTATGACAAACCTAGACAGTGTCTTCAAAAGCAGAGACATCACTTTGCTGACAAAGGTCTGTATAGTAAAAGCTACGGTTTTCCTGCTAGTCATGTATGAATGTGAGAGTTGGACCATAAAAAAGGCTGACGGCCGAAGAAGTGATGCTTTTGAAGTGTAGTGTTTGAGAAGACTCTTGAGAGTCCCTTGGACAGCAAGGAGATCAAACCAGCCTATCCTAAAGGAAATCAGTCCTCAATATTCATTGGAAGGACTGATGCTGAAGTTGAAGCTCCAGTACTTTGGTCAACTGATGCTAAGAGCCGACTCATCGGAAAAGACTCTGAGGCTGGGAAAGATTGAAGGCAAAAGGAGAAGAGAGCAGCAGACAATGAGATGGCTGGATGGCATCACCGACTCAATGGACATTAATTTGAGCACATTCTGGGAGGTAGTGAAGGACAGAGAAGCCTGGTGGGCTGCAGTTCATGAGGTTGCCAAGAATTGGATACAACTTAGTGACTGAACAACAATAACAACAGAAGGACCTGAACAGACATTACCTTAAAAAAAAAAACCTATATACAGGGACTTCCCTGGTGTTCCAGAGGTTAAGAATCTGCCTTGCAATTTAAGGGATGCAGGCTGAATCCCTAGTCCGGGAACTAAGATCCCACATGCGTCCGAGCAACTAAGCCCACATACCACAACAAAAGATTCCGAGTGTCACAACTAAGCCCCACCACAACAGCCAAGTTAATTAAATTTTTAAAAAGATACACAAATGGCCAACATGTCCCTGAAAAAAATTGCTAATTTTTTTCAATTGCTAATTGAATTGCTAATTCAATTTCAAAATTGCTAAAAAATATCGCTAATCATTAGGGAAATGCAAATCGAACCCACAATGAGATATCACTTCACACTCTCTAGGACGACTGCCATCAAAAAAAAAAAAAAAGGAACATAGCAGTGCTGGTGAGAATGTGGAGAGACTGGAACCCTTGTGCACTGTTGGTATGGATGGAAAATGATGAGCTGTCCCTGTGGGAAACGTGGCAGGTTCTCAGAAAACTGAAAACAGAACTACCGTATGATCCAGCAATCCCACTTCAGGTCCACACCCATTAGAGCTGAGAGCAGGGCCTCAAAGAGGTATTTTCACACTTGTGTTCACAACAGCATTATTCCTAATAGTCAGGGAGCAACCCAGGTGTCCAGACACAGATGACAGATAAACAGAACGTGCAGATTCACACAGAGGAATATTTCTCAGTCTTAAAAGGAGGGAAATTCTGACACCTGCTCCAAGATGAGTGGACCTCCAGGGTATTATGCTGAGTGAAATAAGTCAGACACAAAAAGACAAATACTGCATGATTCCCCTTATGAGAGGTTCCTAAAGCAATCAAATTCATAGAGAGAAAGTAGAATGGTGGGTGCCAGGGGCTGGGGGAGGGAGTGGGGAGTTACTACTGAACTGGGGACAGAGCTGATGATAAAGGTCCAGAGAGGGGGTGCATGAACACGTGAACGCATTTAATACTTAAGAGTGGTTAGAATGGCACATTTTGTTATATCTATTTTAACACATTTTTAAAAATCCTAAGGCAGGCAGTATTCTCTCCCACATCTAGAGGAAGCAAGGCTCAGAGAGGTTGGGACGCTGGCCAGGATCACACAGCTGGATAGGCACTGACATCTGGTCTTGGGTCTGTCTAACGGCTGGGCGCTTGCTCATGTGGCCCCAGCAGTCAGCACCATGAGTTTGGAACCAGCGCTGCCCTGTCCAAACTGTTTAGTTCTCCAGAGAGACAGTCACCAGGCTCTTTAGTTAACAAAAGTTTCATACAACGTGCATGTCCACTGACAGCGTGAACCCCATGACCTCTGTGCACACTGGAAGTAGCTGGTTCCACTGGACGCAGCTGCAGGGAAGGCATGCTCATTCTGCACATGCAGCCCAGAGCTCATGCTCCATCGACAGCGATCCTTCCCAGCAGTCACCACACTCCAGGAACCTGGCCGCAGCTCTGGACATCAGTGAGCTGGCCTGCAGTCTGCATGGACAACCCTCACTGCCTCAGTCTTTACCAAAAAGCAAGTATCCTCAACCTCTTCACCCTCTTTACTCGTCACCCTTGACACCCAAAGACTCTCCACCCCACAAAAGGAGCAAGCCTGCCCCAGGGGCGAGAGTGGATGGATGAGCCCATGTCCGGGGCTCTGGGTGGGGGCCGGGGGCCCTTCACTAGGGCCCATGGTGTCACCCGGCTGCAGCAGAGGTGGCATTTGATGAATCCCCCTCCTCTGGGGGGCCTTCCCCGGTGGCTTAGCAGTAAAGAATCCGCCTGCAATGCAGGAGACACAGGAGATGTGGGTTCCAACCCTTAGTCGGGAAGATCCCTTGGAGGAAGGAAATGGCAACCCACCCCAGTATTCTTGCCTGGGAAATCCCACGGACAGAGGAACCTGGCGGGCTACAGTCTGTGGGGTCACAGAGAGTCAGACAAGATGAGCACGCACGCAGGCACCTCCTTAGGGGAGGAAAGTGTAGGGAGGGAGGAAGGGAGGAGGAGCCAGGGGCCTGTGCAGAGAGGCAAAGGTCAGGATGGAGGAGAGGCCACGCCACCCAGCCACAGGCAGCACCGCTGGGCCCTCAAGGGCCATCATCGTGGGGGTGGGGCTGGGGCAGGCACTCAGGCGGAATGGCCGAAGCACCGTCCAGTCTCGAGCCAGGAAGACTGGACGCAGAGGCTGCGTGAGGCCAGGGCAGCGCAAGGCAGTGTCTGGAGGGGTCTGTGACGAGACCCTTGCCCCCTGCTCACTCTGCCACTCGGATCTCTGAGGGGCCACCCCCAGAGCAGGGGACCCCCCCCGACCTGGGGTCAGACACAGCAGGGCCTCTGCAGCCTCCTAGTAAGCCTCTCGCCTGCTACCCTTCGGAGCCAGTGAGGGGACAGGCCAGCTGGCCAAAGGGCCACAGTCCGCCTGTGGTCTGTCCCATCTCAGCATGGGTCACACACAGACTCAGGAAGAGAGAACAGGGGACACTGGCAAGGCCAGGGGACACTGTCTTGGAGGCCTGATAGAGGAAACTTCCATCAGTGAATCTCCCCAACCCTCCTCCCCACCACCGGGAAGGGGGTCAGAGGCGTGAGAACCTCTCCTCGGGGTCAGCACTCTCTATTCAATCACCGGGCTCTGAGTTTCCAGCAAAAGATAGAGGTTCCTTTTGATTATAAAGAACCGACCCCAGAAGAATGCCTCTTTATTTTCATTTTGCTGGAAATGCCAGAGACATACAACTGTGGGTATTTGGCTTAGCTGAGACAGAAGAAGGAGGGAAGGCTGACAAAGGAGCTCAAATCGCTTCTCAGTTTCCTTTCCTCATAAAAGAATTCCCGCCATGGGACCAAGCTGGATCTGACTGCCCTCCAACTGTGGCCACTCCCGTGGGCTCCCTCCCCAGGCCAAGTTCAGGCTCATTTCTGTTATCACGTAAATTGTCAAAACCCAAGATAAATAAATCCTGGTGCAACGGCAGAAACACAATGCTCCAGAGGTCAGGGGGCAAGTCATTCCCACCGGCCAGCCCTCAGGATGGAGACAGATCAAAGCGCCAGTGACCCAGGCAGCAAAGGGCTGACCTTCCAGAGGTCTCCAGTGATATGCTAACGGCCAGGGGCAAGGCAGAGCTGGACAGGGCTGTGCGGGGCTGGGCAGAGCAGGGGCAGACACAGGGCCCATTAAACCTTCAGAGCCTGTCATCCTGATGCTGTTGCCATGGTGTTTTTTCCATTCAGAAAAGGCTGCCCCCTGCCTGGTGTGGGCTGGGGGCCAGGGTGTTTGAATGTCAACCCTGGGACTTCCCTGGTGGTGCAGTGGCTAAGGCTCTGAGCTTCCATCCTGGTTGGGATGTCCAGACCCTGACGGCAAGGTTCTTTTCCAGCAGCAGTCCATCCTACCCCGCCACAAGGTCCCTCCCACATGCTCTGAAGTTCAGGGCCGTGATGCTGGGAGGACACTCCAGTCCAGGGGCTTGGTTTCTTGGCTGCTGATTTCTACACTTTGATGTGAAATACAGCGACGTCAGAAGCAGCCAGCACCAGAGGCTAAAGAGGGCTGGGTTAGC